CACGATGACTGTTGGATCTTGGGAGTGTACGATCATCAAATTGGGAGATGCAGCATACCACGATATCCTGGCTTCGGCTGGGCTTGAAATAACCCTTTTGCTGTACTCCACTCTTTGCATCAGTGGCTTCCTAGATTCGAGCGAATGCATTTGTGTAGCTGAGATGTGTGTCTACGTGAAAGAACATGTGGAGAGAGTCGTATTGGCATTCGCATCAAGCGCATTGCGTATTTTTCAAATTTTGGCCCCCTTCCAGGGACCTTGATTTTTACCCGCTGGCACTGACGTCTTTTAATTGGTCAGCCGGTTAGCGCGGTCGATGCTAATAATGAATACACACACACACACACACGCACACATCGCCTGGGCAGCCGTTGTGTATCTGATGTCTCAATCGTGGGCCGTTTGTTAATTTCCTTTACCATCCGAAATTCTGGGCGACTGCCGTATAACTAGTGCACTCTTAACTGACCGAACGGCCTTTCGAACCGGTAGGCAAATATTTACTTTTTTTACATGTGTCCAGCACTTCTCGACCCGGCAGTACAGGCTAACCATCACCATCCTCCACGTGTGCGTATGAGCCCTTGCATACATCGCACGGGCAGGGCAGAAACGTCCTCTTTCTTCGCTTAGGGTTCCAGACTTTGTCCGACTCTGGACGCCGCAACCTCTGGTCCACTAAACATTTTTTCACCGGGTCAACGTCGGGCTGGGGCGCTGAACCTTTCGATTCCCAGGGTGTTCAGCAGGGTATGCACCCTTGTGGTGTCCGCATTCGGTGCAGGCCCTGAACTGCGGCAACGCCGCCCGCGCCGCCCCCGCCGCCCCCGCCGCCATCGCGGCGTCCGCGACCGCGGCGGAAGCAGTCAGTAGGCCGCCGACACCACGGTCGGGGGCAGGCATTTGCGGCGAGCGGACGGATCCGACGGCATCATCGGGTTGCCTCAGCGAAGCCGTGAGCCGTCCAATCGGTTAGTGAACGGGCTCAAGGGTGTTGAAGGAGTTCGTCCGACTCGTGAATTGCTTGTAGTAGTTCTGGAGGTGGCCCGTCGTCTTCCTCTTGATGGACGCATATTCTTCCTGGCCCGACTCGATGCGCTGGCACCATCGGTTCCAGTCAACCATTTTGGAGAAGTCAATCCTCTGGTGGTCACGAGACGATGAACCACCACTTGGTCGTAAGTACTGGAATATCTCATTTCGAAAGTTCACTTTTTCTGCAGGCGTGCTGACCGGCGTAACCGGGGTCGAGAAGTGCATCAGAGACGCCAGGTGTCGAGCGGAGGGAAGCAGCTGGAGGGCATGCAGTTTGTGGTCGACGCTGCCGTTCATGTCGGTGCTGGTGGCACCTCCGTCGGATGGCTCTGGGCTGAAGCTGTCCTCGATGTCCGCCCCCGCCGGCTTGCCATCGAACGTCAGTACGCTGGCTGCCAAGCCTGTCCTCTCGCCGCTGTCTTCGAAGTCCTCCGGAGCAACCCACCCGGAGAAGAGCGGCTGATCAGGGTACCACTCAGCAGTGGCACGCTGGATGTGGTCGATCATGTACTGGTGGCTGAAACCCCCAATCTCCGCTGCCATGCCGCGGTTCTCGACTGCCCTGCTGATGTTCCAACGGTGGTTGAACTCCATCAAGACCGTGTCCCACACCTCCGGAGATGCGCAGAAGTACGCCACGAGGGTTTTGAGATATCGGTGGTACCCCTGAAACAGTAGGACGGCGGTAGGAAGTGGTCGCGGCGTACGAGTTATTTTGCTGTTTCGTTCCTTTCATACAATACCAAACACTGATGGTTGCCTACTGCTGCAGCTACATTCGGTGTTGACATACTGACCCCGCCGACAGGATGTGCATCGTGGTAGAAGGTCACGTACGGGAAAAAAGAGATTCAACCGAACCCAGGAACAAGCTGCCGAAGCATACTCAACGGAGACCATTTGTGACACAAGCACCACTCACCTCCGTGCTGTTGGTGCCCCGAACGCAACGGAATCGCGTGAGTCCAGTGGAGGTCTTACCCCGCTCGAAGTAGAGCGGGACTCCGACGGGGTCGCTGAAGCATCAGAGCCGGATGTGCTCTCGCACCAACTCAACGGCCTTCATCGCTGCCGGCGAGAGGAGCACTTGGCCGGCCTTGGCGTCCCTGATATCCTTGCAAGCACTGATCACAGCATCAAATCGTGGCAGGAGGACCTCTGGGGCGGCAACACGACGCCTTGCGTTCCTCAAAAAGAAGCCCCAATCCTTGGCCTTCATGTTCTGGATGTCCGCAGCACTTTTCCCCTCGTTCTGCAGCACGTGCTCTACGGCCTTGATGTCGGCCTGGTTCACCATGAAGAAGCAATCGCGCAAGAGGGCGCAGAGAAGGAAGAAAGCGCCATGCCCCTTAGGAGCGCACTTACTTGGTCACGCCAACTATCCCATGGAACGGATCCAACCGCACAGGCAAAGATGATGCCGCAGAGGGGTTTTCCGAACTCGTCGGAGGGTTCGAGGCAGCGCCCGGTAGAGCAGAACCACCCGAAGCTGTGCCGGTGGCGGTAGAAGATGTTACCGCTTCGACGCCGTCAACTGAGGTGTCGAGATCGAGCGGCTCCTCGTCCTGCACGCCATCATCCTCTGCCACATCTACGCTGTCGATGGCACCTGATGGAAGGGGAGAGAGAAGCTGTGTTTGAAAGATGCGCGAGCGTAGACGGTCAGAGTTGAACACACCGCTGCCGATTTGCTGATAGAACGTGTTCCAGCGGCTGCCCCCCTCCCTCCCCCTTAAAAACAATAACACAACAGCACGGGCAGGAATGTACAAACAATATTCCTCTTAAAAAAAAAGAAATAGCTGCACAAAACAAAAAGAACTCACCCCCTCCCTGCACCACCCCCGTCCCCCCGGTGTTTGCCATCGGGGTTGGGTTTTCGTCGCTTGGCAACGACGTTGTAAAACAAGCCGCCCCCCCCGGTGT